GGCTCTGGAGTACCAGAATCTAGAATTTGTATTTTAATTGGTTTTAACTATTATCTGCATATTTATGCAATTGTTACCTGGTTTGATGGAACCTGGCCTGAGCCTGCTATGCGGGGAGGGTGGGATATAAATCAAATAAATTTTTTAAAATAAAATAAATCCCCTGAGCACACACATTAGACTGCCTTATACTGAATCAGCCTTTTGGGCCATCAAGGTCAGTATTGTCTACTCAGACAGGCAGTGGCTCTCCAGGGTCTCAGGAAATGAAGGAAGATTCACAGTCGAATGAGAAGGAGAAGTATCAAGAAGACTGTGAAAAATGATGCTAATGAAAATTATATAAATATCTTTGTGTATTTTTTTTGGTCCTATCATTTATGGTGCAAATACAAAACATTCACAGTTTTCAAAAGTGTGTATCATAAAGTACCAAAAACCTTCATTGTTTTCACAAAGTGTATATCACAGAATATTATAAAGTATTATATAGCAAATCTAGTTTCACAGATTCTAATCCGCAAGTCCACGAATTCTAACAAAGATTCCGGATAAGTCTTCCGTTTCAATCGTCTTCTTCAGAGATGTACGTCTTCAATATCGGATTGATATCTGTGTAGATATTCAAAGCTTCCAGTAATAATTTCAAATACCATTAAGGTTCAAATCAAAAAGAAGCTGAATTCAAAGACGGGCTGCCCCTCGTGTTTTCCATACATGCAGTCTCATTCATTTCAAAGTTGGTATAGCCTCAAGCAGAGGTCTTTCACATCACCTATTGCTTGGTACTTTTTAATTGGAGATGCCAGGGAGCGAACCCGGGACCTTCTGCATGCCAAGCTGATGCTCTACTATTGAACCTCCCCATTTAGTGCTGAAATGAATGGGAACTGTACATCCATACCCTCTGGTTGAGGTTGTCATTTTGTGCGCCCCCGCTTAAGGAGGTTGGGGGCAACCACAGCCTTTTCAGTGGTGGCACCGCACCTGTGGAGCATTTCCTTAGAGCCTGGTTTAGTTTTCCTTTAGGTGCCAGGTAAAGACAGTTTCTTTGCCAGGGCTTTTATATTCCCTATCTTTAGAAGGCACAAGTCAGCAGGATGCAGGAATAGGGGCAGGAGTTGGGTAACTCTGGGAGCTGGGGAAAACAGGGGAAAAAAACATATGCTCCTGTAGAGTGCAGGGGGTTGGACTAGATGACCTGCAAGGTCCCTTCCAACTCTAACATTCTATGATTCTATATGTTGCTCTACCATAGTGGTAAGGAAGCTGACAGCAGGAGGAGGAGTCACCTGTGCGCAAGCAGCAGATGGTTTTAGCTGAGCGGGCCGAGAGTACGATCCACTGGGAATTTCTACCACCCTAACCTCAAAGAATGCTTGCACTCTGTGGACTGGTGCCTCCCCCCCCCCCTCAAATTGTATGAATGGAGGAAGCTGTCTTATACCAAGTCAAGCCACTGGTCGGTCTAGCTTAGCTTCATGTACTTTGACTGGCAGTAGGAGAGCAAGACTGGAGTCCATTAGCAGGTTAAAGACCAACCAGATTTTCCCAGTTTATAAGCTTTCAGGAGTCAAAGCTCCCTTCCTGAGCTTTTACTCTTAGAATCTTATATTGGGGGCAGTGTTCCCTCTAAGCTGAGTTAGTGTGAGCTAGCTCACAGTTTTTCAGCCTCTGGATCACACATTTTTGCCTTAGCTCAGGAAGGATGGCTCCAGAGCAGACTAATTTATGCAGTAGCCAAATCACCCGCTCACAACTTTAATGCCAGCAGCTCACAAAGTAGAATTTTTGCTCACAGGGCTACACAGCTTAGAGGGAACATTGATGGGGGGGGAATTGTTGGTCTTTAAGGTGCTTCTGGACTTGGGTTGCCAGGTTCCCGGGGGGGGGGGCGGGGAAACCCCTGCTTGATGGGTCCATTCCCCGCCGGCCTGGATTGGGCCCAAAGTGCTGGAAGCACACAGATGTGCCCGGCGTGATGACGTCACCCGGAGGTGACGTCATCGCGTCGGGCCCATTGTGGGGGGACGCTCTATCATTCAAGGGAAAACTGTGTTTCCCCCTCGAATGATAGTGGCCCTGCCCCCAACGTGCCCGACATGATGATGTCACTTCTGGGTGATGTCATTGCGGTGCACGCGCATTGCGCGCAGGCCGAAAAACTCCCAGGGAGGACCGGGAACCTCCCCCCCCCCCCCCCCCCCCCGCTCCAGGTAAAATAGGACTTGGCAACCCTATACTGAGCTCCAGTTTTACACATGAACACATGAAGCTGCCTTATCCTGAATCAGACCGTTGGTCCATCAAAGTCAGTATTGTCTAGTCAGACTGGCAGCAGCTCTCCAGGGTCTCAGGCGGAGGTCTTCCACATCAGCTCCTACCTGATGCCAGGGATTGAACTGAGGACTTTCTGCTTCTAGTCTTGCTCTTGTTCTCTTCTCCAGGCCAGTTTGACTGGAGAACCGGGAGGTTTTTGGTCATCTTCTGGGTGTGGAACAGGGCTCATTAGGGGTTTGGAGGGGGAGGTATTTGGGGATTTTCCTGCATTGTGTGGGGGGTTGGACTGGATGACCCTGGAGGTCCCTTCCAACTCTGTTATTCTATGATTCTACTGCAGACCAACATGGCTTACCCACCTGAAACTTTTGCCTGACAGTGTTCCTCCAAGGTCTCAGGCAGATCAAGGCCTTTCCCACCACCTGTAACCTAAGATTCTTTAACTAAAAATGCCCAGGATCAAACCTGGGACCTTCTACAGGCAAAGTACATGCCATGCGACGAAGCCACAGTCTCATCATAATCACTTCTTCCGCCGGCTTCTAGAACCGATCCGTAGAAAGGAGCCGAACTCTTAAAGTATTACCATTTGCTTTCCTGCAACCGAGCAACTAAGTTTGCTGAGCCGGACTCCCTGGAAAAAAAATTAAAATAAATGCCAGGCGGTCACTTTTTGAAAAAAAGGAAAGCAAGCAAGCAAGCTGGGAAGAGCGAGGGGAAAGAATCGGCCATTAAAGCGTTGACAACAAAGGGAGAGACCGAAACTCTCTAATCCCATCCCAGGACCCTTGCCACGGTGCCGCATGTCTGAAGCAATACGGCCAGCGAGGGCAAGATTAAAGTAGCCATTGTGCGCCGGCATCTTGTGAAAGGCCTCGTTTCAACATGAAAAATGGCCTTGGGATTATGATGAATGGGGTGTCCTGACACACACGCACTCCCCCACCCACCCCGTCTCCTATAATCCTGCGTTAACGCTGAGGTAGCGGAGTGCTCTTGCCTTCTGTGATGGAGACCCTCTCGTAGCTTGCCTTCTTCTCCCCCCCCCCCCCCCACAAGCTGGCCTTCTGAGGAGATGATTAATTGCCTGGCAGTAGCCCCATGTCAGTGAAACTGGCAATCTTTGTTCTCCCGGGTTGACCATCTGCTGAGGATGTATGGGCGCTGGCAGCTTGCTCCCAGTTTACCCCCCCCCCCATAGTTGTTACTCCTGACGGAGGGAGAGGGTCAGGCCTGCGAGGGTCGTGTTCTGAAATTGGGGCCCGGCCCCTCACTGGCTAATGGCGCCGGAGATTTATGAGCCTGGCCTTTGCGGAGTCTCTCTCTCTAATGACCGCAAGAGTGTTCCTGCTTGGAGCGTTTGTGAGAGAAATATACCCTCCTGCGCCTCTCTATCGAGTCATTTGCTCGGAATTGGGCGAAAACACATGTTGATGGATATAAAAGAGGCCTATTAAGAACATGTAGGATTCTGTGTTGTGTCAGACAGGGGATCCAACGTAGGGATGCCAACACCGAGTTTGGAAAAACCTGGATGTTTGAAGGCGGAGCCTGGAAAGGTTTATTTAATTGTTGTTGTTGTTGTGTCGCACAGTCGAGTCCGACTCTTTGCGACCCCATGGACCACATCATGCCGGGCCCTCCTGTCTTCCGTCGTGCTCCGGAGTTTGCTTAATTTCATGTTCATTGCATCGATAACACCGTCCAACCATCTCATCCTTTGCCGTCCCCGTCTTCTTTTTCCTTCAATCTTTCCCAGCATCAGGGTCTTCTCCAGTGAGTGCTCCCTTCTCATTCGCCGCCTTGAGCCGGTTCTCACCGCCTTGTACCGGTTCTCTGGCAAAGCGGGACACAAATTGAAAATAATAAATAAATAAATATCTGGTGGCCAAATTTAATTTATATCTTTTTTATAATTTATAATTTAATTTATTACTATTTAATAACTTTTAATGTTTGGTTTTTATTCATTTTTTATTTTTATTTGTGTTTTATAAGCCGCCTCAGGCCCCAACCTGGATGGCACAATCTTGCTGGAAGCTAAGCACGGTTGGCCCTAGTTTCTGTTTTGATAGGAGACCACTGAGGGAAGCCCAGGGTCTCTATGCAGAGGCAGGCAATGGCAAACCACCTCTGTCCATCTCTTGCCTTGAAAACCCTACGGGGTCACGCTAACTCAGCTCAACTTAACGGCACATTTCATGCCCACCCAAGCCACCTTTATCAGGTCCTACCCGTCTGCCAGTGGGGACCTGGCCTGGTCCCAAGGTCTTCCGGAAGTGACATCATTGCTCTGGGCACGTTGGACAGGGGACACTCTAGCATTTGGCTAAAAACTCTATGGTGACCATAGAGTTTTTAGCCAAATGCTAGAGCGTCCCTTGTGCAGTGTGCCCAGAGCAATGATGTCACTTCCAGAAGACCTTGGGACCATGCTGGGCATGTTAGGTGCAGTGGGGCTCTTTGGGGGTGGGGCTCCCTCCACTGGCCAACTGGCCGGTGGCAGATTGGGGCCCCCGAAATCGGGGAAAACCCCACCCCCCCATTGGGAGGTTGGCAACCTATCAGACGGGTTCCTGGAGAGGAAGCATAATGTTCTAAATAAACAAGTACATGTATAGAGTCAGGCCCAGCCTGAATGAGCAATATACTCATAAAAGTGAAACAAAGTTTTATTTTTCTGACTTACTGTGTCTGTTTTCTCTCCCTCCCCCCTACAGTGGATTGCATGGACCCCACTTGCTCAGGACGTGGCGTTTGTGTCAGAGGAGAGTGCCATTGTTCTGTCGGCTGGGGAGGAACCAACTGTGAAACGCCGAGAGCTACTTGTCTGGACCAGTGTTCGGGCCACGGCACCTTTCTCCCTGAAACCGGCCTGTGCAGTTGTGATCCAAGCTGGACCGGACACGACTGTTCAATTGGTAATTACGCTTGTGGCTTTTCCATAGCTAACCCCTTGCTTGTGCCATCTGGACTTCTTGAGTGAAATTTGTGTTCAAGTTTATCCCGTTGGCCTGATGTGCCTTGGTTCCTTCCGTTCCTTCTCTCCTGGAGGTGCATGTGATATGCTTTTGATCACTTAGGAAAGGGATTCCATGAATCTTAAGTAGACTGTTTTGGACAGTAGTTTGGCCTTGTATATCTTACAAGCCACCCTGTCTATCAGGGTGGATAAACCCCTTACCATATCCCAAAAGCAAGCAGAGGCCCATCAGTGGCTATTAGCTACAAGCTATAGAAACACTCTGTCTGGGGCAGTGATGCTCTGTCTTCTTGGTGCTTGGGGGGCAACAGTGGGAGGGCTTCTAGATTTCTGGCCCCGCTGGTGGATCTCCTGATGGCTCCTGGGTTTGGGCCACTGTGTGACACAGAGTGTTGGACTGGGTGGGCCAGTGGCGTGATCCAACATGGCCTCTCAAAGTCATGACGTCTAGGGCAATGCAAGCCAACACTCAGGGACCACTCGGTTCAACAATAGGCGTGGCTCACCCATTTTCTCCTCTCACCCCAGGAAGGGTCACCTGACTGAGCTGTCACTCGTGAATGTTATCGCCAAAGAGTCGATGCCAGTCGACCTATGAAGCATTGGCGCAACTACTGGGATTTGTCTGTGCTCGATCCTCGCAATAATGCCCCCCCGACAGCATCACAATAGGCGCTTTCCCTGTCAGTTAAATGGCCAGTGTACCCCTCCCATCTCTGCAGCCATGTGGTTTTACGCTGAGGCGTGCTGTTGTGCAGTAACCCATCGGGTCACCCTTCCTAGAGTTTCGTTTCAGTGCTCAAGGCTCAACAGAGAGTATGCAGACAGGACTTTCTTGCTGTCTGCTGTTCGTCCTTCCTTTCTCCGTTTGGTCCTTCCCAACTTCCAGGCAGGGGACCATCTTACAGGGAGAAAGCGGCAGTGACCTGTAGCTACAGAGATACGCTCAAGGAGATACCCGTGATCGCAGCATCTCTTTGTGCTGCAGGAGCCACTGCTCAGAAGGAGAAACTGCACACAGTTCAGATAAAGGTAAAGGTCTCCCTTGCTCGAAAGCCAGTCGAATCCGACTCTAGGGTTGCGGTGCTCATCTTCGTTTCAAAGCCGAAGAGCCAGCGCTGTCTGAAGACGTTTCCGTGGTCATGTGGCCGGCATGACTAAACACCAAGGCGCATGGAACGCTGTTACCACAGTTCAACCAGGGATATAATTTCCCCTCACCAGTTCTGGGAGTCAGAACTCTGGTTATTCCCTGCCACTGCCTGCTATACATCTTCAGTCTCCTGCAGTCCCTAGCCACTAGACTGTCCTTCTGTGTTCCGCCCCCCCCCCAACCTTGTTTGTTTGTCCATTCCAAGTTACTGCCACCCATCCAGCCTTTGGGACAGGATCTTACCAGCACCTGGACCGGGGTGCTTGATGTGGGAGAAGAAGACGAAGAAGAAGAAGAAGAAGAGATTGGATTTATACCCCACCCTTCACTCGGAGTCTCAGACTGGCTCACAATCTCCTTTCCCTCCCCCTCCTCACAACAGACACCCTGTGAGGTAGGCGGGGCTGAGAGAGCTCTTTCGAGGACTGCCCTTTCAAGGACAGCTCTGACCGAGCTATGGCTCGCCCAAGGTCATCCAGCAGCTGCAAATGGAGGAGTGGGGACTCAAACCTGGTTCTCCCAAATCAGAGTCCGCACATGTAACCACCACACCACTACACTACCCCATCCCGGTATCCCAAAGGGCTCACAACTGATAACAGTGTTGTGTTTTAGTTTTTAATAGTAAGCCTCCTTGAGCAGGACCTGGAAGAGGCTGCGTAGAAATATTTTACATAAAATAAATAACTGAAAAATGATTTTTTAAAAATATATATATAAAGAACATGGATTGGCACTGACTGAAGCTAATATGAACACATAAATCAGTGGAAGGAGCCAATAGAGAACGCCAAAGAAGGGTTTTGTAGATATTATTTTTTGTCATGGCCTCAATCATACATTTCCCCCCCACTAAACCCAGAAGCCATAAAACACCTTCAAAATGGTGGCTTTTAATTTAAAAGACAAATTCTTCAAGCCCTCAAGGTTGTATGGAAATCCCTTGAACCTAAGGTTTTCGGGCAGCAGCTGGCAATCCCTGGGAGGAAGTGGGGGAATGGGGGTCTGGTTTAACCGGTGGGTTTACCATAGAGTTTTTGCAAAATGCTAGAGTGCCCACCCTGTCTCATCTGGTGTTTGCTGGAAGTGATGAAAGCACACTGATGCAACATTCTTTTTCTCACCCCATTTCCTTCCGGCACACTTGAGGCGCTGGTGGGCAACAAAATAGCATACCAGGAGGCCTCACACTGTAGCGGTAGGCCTGAGATAAGGTAGCCAGACTGCCCAGTGCAGGCAGGGGTCTCCCACATTCTGGCACTCCTTTACCACACTCAAATCACCCCTTTTACCAGCAGAAACCTGGAAATTTTCACAAGGTGCCTACAAAAACCGGAAGTGACATAGGCATGTTCGGGGAATGGGTGTGTGTGATGCTCTGGTTTAGGGGCAAAACTCTATGATGTGAAGTGAATTCTACCATAGAGGTTTGCCCAATAGCCAGAGTGTCACCTCTGATGTCCCTGATGTGTCTACATCACTTCCTGTTTAAATATACCCGATGCAGTTTGCTGTAGTTTGCTCTTTGAGCCAGTTTGTTGTCGAGAGCCAGTTTGGTGTCGGGGTTAAGCGCGCGGACTCTAATCTGGGAGAACCGGGTTTGATTCCCCACTCCTCCACTTGCAGCTGCTGGATGACCTTGAGCAAGCCATAGTTCTGTCAGAGCTGTTCTTGAAAGAGCAGTTTTTGAAAGAGCTCTCTCAGCCCCACGTACCTCACAGGGTGTCTGTTGTGGGGAGGGGAAGGAGTTTGTAAGCTGCTCTGAGACTCCGAGTGAAGGGCAGGGTATAAATCCAATCTCCTCCTCTTCCTCTTCCTCTTCTCCTCCTCCTCCTCCTCCCCCTCCTCGTCCTTCTCCTTCTCCTTCTCCTTCTCACTCCCAGAAAGTCCCTCCCCTGCTACCAGGACAATCAGACCTGGCAACCCTCGCCCAAGATCCCTATTTAAAGCACGGGGAGTCTGTTGCCTGCCACTCTACGCCAGATCCCAATTCGTGCTACACTTTGCGCAAGCTAAGCAATTCATTTCACTGGCTCCCTTTGCCTGAGGAGCGCGGTGCGCGTGGTTTGTAAATCCATCTTTTGGAGTTGAGGCTTAGATAGACTGGAGAGCTCCGGGTAATAAATGGGTGTTTACAAATGACCTTAGCAGAGATTTTTAGCCGCGAGGCATAAAGCAATAATAACTTTCAACATCGGAAACAGCTCTGTGAGGAATGAAAGTCTCGGAGTGAGGGTTATGTATAATTTTGCGCTCCCCGAGAAAGTGACATGAGGTGAATTTTACAGATGCAAGAAGGGAAAAGGTTACTGTTTTGATATGCGGCCCTAGGATGTGGTTGTTCTGTGTGGGAGTTAAGTGGGGAGGCGGGGTGGGGTGGGGGAGACGGTACACAAGGTGGAGGAGACCAAGCAGTTTCGGCACCTACTCCACAGACCCTAAGTACAGCTTTCCCCCCCTTTAGAAATTAGTAGTCACTGGTCTCAGAATTCCCCTCCCACATGGGAATTGTTTTTATTATTAGCTTGTAGCGGATTTATGTCCATGGTAGTAGTAGTAGTAGTAGTAGTAGTAGTAGTAGTAGTAGAAGAAGAAGAAGAAGAAGAAGAAGAAGAAGAAGAAGAAGAAGAAGAAGAAGAAGAAGGTTTTTATACCCCACTTTACCCTCAGGGGTTTCAAAGCGGCTTACAATCACATTCTCTTCCTCTCCTTGCAACACGTACCTCATGAGGTAGGTGGGGCTGAGAGAGTCCTGAGAGAACCGGGACTGGCCCAAGGTCACACAGCAGCACCCTTCATGTGTCTCAAAGCAGTTTACAATCTCCTTCCCTTCCTCTCCCCACAACACGTACCTCGTGAGGTAGATGGGGCTGAGATTCTCCTGAGAGAACTGTGACTGGCCCAAGGTCACCCAGCAGGCTTCCTGTGGAGGAGGAGTGGGGACTCAAACCCGGTTCTCGAGATTAGAATCCATCACTCTTAACCAATACACCTGTGGGTACCTTGCAGGCCAGGATCTAACCAGCTGACTTCCCAAAGAACCGGATCAGCCCCTGAAGCAATGTTATCTGGCCCCTGATTGGCCTACCACCCCAACTCCAGGCCCATGAGCAATGTTAAAGGGACCTAATCCCTCCCTACTACACCAAATCGAGTGGGTCTGAAAGAAAAATTCTGCGAGAGACCCCAAAACAGATATATATGTCAGGTGAGGTCCCCAGCTCTCCACACACACTACTGACCGTGTAATGCTTTATTAGAGATACGATGCTGTGGGTTCAAGAGCTTTTGTTAGACTAAAGAAATTTGCGGGACGATATATTTAACTACTGTAGGGCATATAGAAGTGAATGCTAACATTTAGTAGACTATTGTCTTACATTGGTGAGGCTCTGAGTCCGAGCGTATGTGTGTGTTAAATGCTGTCAAGTTGCTTATGAGGGCCCTATAAATTAATGTCCTCCTAAACATCCTATGGTTAACAGCCTTACCCAGGTCTTGGAAATGGAGGGCCTCTGGCTTCCTTGACTGAGTCAACCCATCTAATGTTGGGTCTACCTGTTTTCCTTCCACCTTCAACTTTTTGTAGCAGTACTGTCTGTTCCGGTGACTGTTGTCTTCTCATAATGTATGACCAAAGTACAATAGCCTCAGTTTAGTCATTTGAGCTTCTAGGCAGAGTTCAGGCTGGGTTCGAACTAGAACGTCTGATTTGTCTTTTTGACAGTCCAAAGGTGTCTATGAAACTTGCCTCCAGGACCACATTTCAAATGAATCAACTTTCT